GAGTTGGTTAGTTATGTAATTAATTATAAAAAATACATTTATTATTCCTTTAAGCTTCAAATACAAGTTAAGCAAATCCTTAAACTTATTATGGATATAGATTAGACATTTATTATAAGGGATATTTTCTTGTAAAAGAAAAAAAAGAGTTTCTTTTTCCTAATTTGTGCCTTTAAGCAAATATTAAGTACGTATTTATTCTACTTTTTCACCATTAACTTATACTAAAAAAATTAGTATCAATTATTTAATTATTCATGTAGTATTATTGTTAAAAACAATTTTTTTCTTAAAATTTTCATATAAATTAATAATAAAAATACATAATAAATATATCCTTAATTTACATCTTAAGGTATATATTAAAAAAATCTTGTTATAAATGCTGATGTGAAAAACTAATAGGGAGTAAAACATAATTGTTTTGATTGAAAGTTTAAATTGAAAGTTTCAAATGTAACCTATGAGATGTGTAAGAAAAGAATTGAAAAATGATAAGATTATTCTATGATATACCCTAAAAAAAAAAGAAGAGAGTAAAGTTTAATTATAGTTAAACATAGATATTAAGCAAAGTACGTAATAAATTTGTCATTAGAAAGAGCAAGAATTATATATATATATATATATATATATATTATGGGAGCAAGGACTAGAAATTTTCATTTTTCCTTGAACGGAAAGGAAATATATTATTGCTTAGATATCTGAATCATCACATAATTAATGCTGTAGGAAGGGAACCATACCAAACACCTTCCTGGGGAGGGTTAGGGGAGACCAGCTGAGCCATAGCCTATGTGCAAGGGAGTTGGCTTCACGCCTTACATGAGAAAACATGCAGGAATTAAATTTAGCAGTGTGAGCTTTTAAGTCTTCAAGCAGAACCTCAAAATATATATAGAAAACAGTCCTCTTAAGGATTTGGCCAAGTTAATGGCTTGCAGACAATCATAGATTCCATGACCACATGAATGTATCCAAACTCCTTCCCCTAGTTGTATTTTTCCGTTGGGGAAAAAAAAAGAAGTGAAATTTTCTCCATTTTAAATATACAAGTGTGAATTCATTCTTTTCTTTTTCATATGGGTGGTATTATAGGATAACTTTTTTATATCATTTTTTTTATACAATTTTCATATATTATTAAATGAATGGATGCATTTAATATTATAGATTTCATATGAATTAAAAAAATTAATCATTTTAATAACACGTCAAGTTGTATAAGAAGGTAAAAATAATTTTCCTTTTTATATAGTATCTGCAAAGGTAGTGAATAAAATATGGAATTCCTTAACATTTGTGCACATGTTAAGGGTGCATTTATTGTACCTTTATATCATTAATTTATAAAAAAAAATAAAAATTAACTTTAATTTTGTTAATTGTTCAATTAAAATATTGTTCCACGTACTATTAATGTTGAAAAATAAAGTTTATTTTTTGTGTAATTTTTAGTACAAATTAAGTGAAAATTTAC